AAAGAATGGTAAAACATCCACTAAAGGCACTAAATGCCTTTCTAATGTGTTTTCAATTGTAGGATTGGAAATACTTGATGGACTGTATACTTTAATGTTGAAAAAGAATAATCTTTATTAGTATAAGCAGAGGTGTATTCTTCAAGCTTTAATGCAGTTTGCAAAAATCATTGTAGTAAACTGAATACCACTGTAGAACATCATTTCTCACCAAAAATGCAATTTAATGAAGAGTAAAGTAAGATTTTGCACAGGCAAGAAAAAGTGTATAGAATAGGTGATGCCTGGCTCAACTGGAAATAACTATGAGATGGATCTATGAGATGGAAACTTATGAAACAGATCCAACCTAGAAATGACAAATTTCTTGACAGAACAATTAGAGAAATGGGATGCCTTCAGAAATTGTGGGTATACCTTAACAGAGTTGGAAGGGGACCTTGGAGGTTTTTAAGAAGAAATTTGTCCTTAATAGTATAGGGTCTCATCTCATGCTTCCGCAGGGGTTGGACTAGAAAACCTCCAAGGTCCATTCCAACGCTATTATTCTTTATAAATCTCTCCACTCAGTCTTACCAAGAGAATTGTGATAAATAATATTTGGAAATGTACAGCAGGTGGTCTTCTGACAGCAAAATCTTATCTTATTGGCTAGTATAAAGGGGAAGATGACTTTGAAAATGCTTCCTCTCCCACCATAACATGCAAGATGAGGCAAGGACTGTCTGGGAGGAGAGGGACTAGGAGAAGCCAGGCCAGGTGCCCCTCCATGTGAGTGACATTGAGTTGGCCATGCCCACCCAATCACATGATCTTATCCACCTAGTAATGCTCACCCGATCACATGACTGCCAAGCCACTCCCACCCAGTCACATGACCGCCAAGCCACTCCCACCCAGTCACATGACCACTGAGCCACTCCCACAAAACAGGCCACACTTACAGAATAGGTTTAAAAAATTTTTGAAACCCACCACTGGTATATACTGTGTTTGTTTATCCTGCATGCAAAACCAATAGGTGATAAGAAATGTTGCCTCTTAAAAACTCCACGGAAATATTTTAAGTCCTATAGTTATTTTAATTTAATGTCTGCTCAAAACCAAAGAAACACATGCTTCAACAGCCTATAACTACTGCAAGTTAATTACAGCAAGCAATAAATAACAGCAACTTTCCAACCACTTCGTCTAATCTGCAAATAGTAAAATAATAAATTATGAAAGTTACTCTTCAGAATCTCCCAAACTTTTAATTTGCCTGACATGTAAAAAAAAAAGCAGGTATAAATCTGTTCTAACTGATTACTGCAAATATACCAGTGATTTGTGAAATAAGTCTCCTTTGAGTTGAACCTGATTCCTGCTTTGTTGTAAAAATGTAAAAGTGGTTTGCCTTTTAGGATTTTTGTTTTCATTTTCCAATTCCAGTCCCTGTTTTCCCATCCAAGTACCAGCTGGATCTGTTTAGTCAAGGTTCTTTCAATTGCTCTCACAATCTGAGGAATACTTCTATTGGTCTATATCAATTATTATAAAGACTACGGCTATAGCAGGAATAAATTTTGTGACATAGGCAGGCATTATTTTTGGCCCACTATCCGTCACACAGTTAATTTCCATTTTAAAAATAAATAGCAAAGAAACAAAACTAATGTGCATTCTCCCTCAGAAATATATTTGGCAGTAAGAATTCATGCATTTGTTTCCAATAGACTGTCCTTTCATATAGACAGTTTTGGAAAACATCAACATCTTTTGGAAACAGTTTTTAGAATAAATTGCCGCAGCTGATTAATTAGGCAAACACAGCCAAGAAATGGGGAAAAATACAGACAACATCACCATGCTTCTCCAATAAACCCAGATTAAGGATATGCACACTACATTTGCCCTATAGAAGATTCTATTTCAGATAAGGATTGAAATAATGTTAATTCATATATCTACTTTATGTAACAATATCTTTACCTTGCCTTTCCAACAAACAGGATACTCAAGGAAATAGTATCCGTGAGAATTATTTTATGATAAAATAATTCAGAATAGCGTTAAATTATATGCCTCTTAACTAGAGTTGACCTGCATGGAAAAGATGGCAGATGATGGGCGGGTTCTTGCAAAAAAAAAAAAAAGCCTTTCACTATCTTGTTCTCATTATAAGAAATGGTGGATCCCAATTCTGAAAGTACTGAAAGGAACTAGCTTTCTGTAATAAACATTTTTTTATATCTCTTTTTCAGTTGTGTCTGATTCTCAGAGAGTAGCAATAGCAATAGCACTTAGACTTATATACTGCTTCACAATGCTTTACAGCAGTCCCTAAGCAGATTACAGAGTCAGCATTTTGCCCCCAACAATCTGAGTCCTCATTTCACTGATCTCAGAAAGATGGAAGGCTGAGTCAACCTTGAGCCGGTCAGGATCGAACTACTGGCTCTTGTAATAAGTACTGCATTAGGACTTTGCAAATTTTTGCTATTTTCATCAGCAACTTTTGCAATCTTTTGAAAAAGTCTATCTTATTATTTTGAAGCCTGGCACGCAACAACATCTTTACAATTGCTCTCATATTGTGTTGATGCAATAGTGGCAGGGAACAGCTTCTTCAGTGTCATCTACTATTATATAGATTCTAAAATGTATAGCATGTACATTGGATTATGCATTCCAAGTTTTCTTCTGTTATATCTCAGTACTTTACTGCTTTAAGCAACTCAAGAAATCACGATCTGTGAGAAAACATTGAAACGATGTCAATTGTCTAAACCATATCACCACAGATGTTCCAGAATGTCAACATTTCATTTTAGAATTTTAGTCCATGGGCAATCATGAATGTATTTTAATGACCAATTATATATACTTCTGATTTAGCACAAGCTAAATCAGAAGTATATATAATCCATTTCAAGAAGTTGACAGATGGAATTTAAAGTGGTAGAAAATCTCTCCTGTTAGCTAAGGATATTGGTGGCAAAGCAGCTTTCTCTCCCAGAGCACCAAGAGTAGGATACTAATGAAAAAATATCCTTTACTTGCTCATTTACTGATTTGGCTGCTGTATCTATGTTGTGTTGGCTTTTTTTTTTTACATTATGCTAACTAGGAAATATATTCTCTAGCATTTTAATTTTCATACAAAGTCAGATACAACTGATTTTGAATGGGAAATATACTTCACCAGAACAAGTGGGTTTTACAGACTGTTGCGACTGTATGCAGTCTCTCTGTGGGCTACTGCTATGAAAGGTTAGTGAAAGTGTGATCAGTTACCTAGCCCATATATGGACAGCATGAAATGTAAAGATCAATTTTTTATAAATATCAACATGCCACACTATCCAAACAGACATTTAGACATTACAGTTGAATCTAAAAATACTCTGGAAGTATATCTAAAGGATACTAAAACAAGACTCCGATTCCAAGCAAATGAACAAACTTTTTTTTGAAAACTAGAAAAGAAACCTAAGAAATTTCTTTACTACTAGATCTACCTGATATTCCTCCTTACTTATTACTTAAGTTACCGTATTTTTCAGAGTATAAGATGCATCTTTTTTCCTCTAAAAAGAGGCTGAAAATCTGGGTGCGTCTTATACATCGAATACAACCTTTTTTGCCTCCTGAAGCCCCACCCCTTCACCAAAATGGCTGTGCATAGCCTTATGAAGGCTTCCAGAGAACTCCTGGGAGGGCAGAAATGACCAAACAATGGACCGTTCTTTTGCCCCCTCAGCCCCCAGCAGCACTCTATAAGCCTCCATAAGGCTATGCATGCAATTTTTTTTGACAAAAAAGGCCCATTTTGTGCTCGTTTTGCCCCCCCTGGAGCACTTGCAAGCCCCCCCCCCAAAGCTATTCATGCCTTTTAAAAAAAACGGAGCCATTCTCGTGAAAAACAGGCTGTTTTGGGGGGGGTTTGCAGAGTGCAAAAACTCCCCCTGCCCTTTCGGAAAGCTGTTTAGTTAAAGTGGTTGATGAGAATTACATTGATCAAGTGCTGTCCCAGCAGAAACAAAGTTTTAGGTGCTACAGGTTGTCAGCTATTTCCTTCTCCAGCACATGAATTACCAACCTACTTACTCTCTCCTCTCTCTCTCCCTCCCTACCTTCTCTCTCTCTCTCTCTCTCTCTCTCTCTCTCTATCCCTCTACCTACCTACCTATCTACCTATCTACATACTCTCTCTCCCTCCCTCCCTACTGTATTTCTCTCTCTCTTCCTCTAGCCTTTATCTACCTACCTAACTACTCACTCTCTCTCTCCCCACCTACCTACTGTATTTTTCTCTCCCTCTCTATCCCTCTACCTACTTACTTTTTTTAAAAAATTGCCTCTTCAAAACCTGGGTGTGTGTTATATCCCAGTGCGTCTTATACTCCGAAAAACATGGTATAAATCTCTGTAGGTTATTTCAAATAGATCATAGAATGGCAATGAACATAAATAAAATAAAACTGTAAAGGATTTTGCCTACTTAAATATATAGCAGATCCAGAAAGCAACATATTTTTCTGATGTCCTAAGGATCCATTTAATGTTGAACTATATTGAGGAACATGTATTTCCTATTTTTATGAATTTTTAAAAAGTGATTTAAATTATGTAAAGATCACATACCTGTGGTTCAGGTTCTACACTGACACGATAAGCTTGTGCTTTTCCATCTTCTGAAGTATTAGGTGACCAAACCTTGCCTTCAGTCCTGTAATGGAAAATTAAGAATTATATGTACAATGTACTGTAGATTGCTAGTAAACTTGAATATAATTTTATACATTTCCAAGAATCCAGAAACCTGGATGAATCAAAAACATCATTTACTTATTTTTTCCTTTCCTATTATATTCTTTTCATACTGATCAGTAAAATCCATCCATCTAGTCATCCATTCAATCAATCAATTTATATGGTGTCCATTTCAAATTCATGACTGAGCAACAGTTAAAAACACCATTAAGGTCCTAATAATACACAATACACTCCTAAAGTCCTAAAACAATACATTCATAATCAGCATCTGAGGTTAAAAAAAAGAAAAAAGCCATCAGCAAATCAATGTAAACATTTCATGGGTTCTACCACAGATCCAAGCTTGGTGACACAACTATTTTTTTAAGGTTTTACAAAAGGCCAGCAGGCTCAGAAGCAATCAAATCTTTGGGCCGGGAGTGGGGGAGAGATGTTCCAAAGAGAAGGCACCATGACAAAAGCCTCTGCTAGACTGCATTCCCTAATGGATCTGACTCAGAGTATGTGTCATGTGCCAGACCTATTAGAATGGAGAGGGAGTGGTGGTTCCTCACATAATCTGGCTTCATCCCATGGAGGGCTTTATTGGTAACTATCAGCACCTTCAATTGAACCCAGAAGCACACCAACAATTCTGCAGAGCAGAACTGTAGCATGTGCTGATCAAGGAGTACATGTTATTGTCCATGTTGCTGCATTTTTACCACACACAACTTCTGAATGCTTCAATGGCTGCCCCAGTAAAATGCATGGCAGTAATCTATTTGGGAGGTGACTGATGCATGAATGATTGTGAGCAGATCTCCTGCTCTAGGAATGGGCAAATGTGGCAAACAACGTGAAACTGTACAAAGGCCTGGTTACACAGCCACCTGTTCTTTAAATCCAGGAGATCCCCCAGATTGCACACCAATTCTGTTTGAAATAGTACAGTCATCTTCAAAATTAAAGATGAAAAGTCCCTAGAACCAGGATGCCCTAATACCCAAGACCACTTAGTCTTGCTAGGGTTGAAGCCTGCTGTTTCTCATCCAAACCTCCATAGACTCCAGACACTAAACAGAATTTCCACTGCATCACATGGGCAGTCAGAGGTGGAGATGGATACCATTGGCATGCCTCTGAATGACTTCACAAAGTGGCTGCATGGAGATGTTAAATAGGAGCTGAGCAAGTATCAAGCCCTGCAGAACCCTGCAAAGGAGTGGCTGCAGGCTGGACCACTCCCGACCATCAACACTGACTGCCCTGGATGAAGGAAGAGAACCAGCACAACAAAATACCACTCACTCCCACTCATTAAAGCGGATCCAGAGGGATACCATTATTGATGTTATCAAAACTCTGCCAAGAAGACGAGAAAAGCAAAAGTGGATGCACCGCTTCCATCCTTCTCCTGCCACATGTTATTTACAGTTGCAATCAATGCCATTTCAGGCCCATAGATAGATCTGAATTCCAACTGAAGAAGGTCCAAATACTCCACTTCCTCCAGCATTTTCTGGAGCTGTTTCACAACCACCTTTTCTAACATCAAAACATATTATGATTTGCAATTCATTTCATTTGCTTGATTTTTTTTTTTAAAAAAACTGTAATAATAGCATTTTATAGCCTTTAGCCATTCATTTTGGAGAAAGAAAAAAAAAGTTATATTCCTTTAAAAATTGTCTAGCTTAACTATCCATTAGTTAAAATATTGTCCCTTTGCATCTTTCCATGTTTAACTTAGCCATTACACTCATGGTAAGGATTTCAAACATATTTGCAAACCGTGGTTAAGAAATCTGATTTGCTTTAACTACTGAGAGAAAATTAATATTTGGCAGTGGGTGGAGGCAGAAATAAGGAAATAGTATGAGTACCAAACTACTAGTATCCTATCTTCATCCTTGGCCTTTAATTTAATGCCTTAGCTTGCTATTTTGTCACAAATAAATCTTTGTGGACATCAATATATTAGCAAAAGTAGTCAACTGCTATCTCATCAAAACAGCATAAATAAGATTTCATAAAGTAACTCACTTTTGGTGTTTCTATTTTTCATTTTAGGCTGCACATGCCACTTTAGAAAATATAAAGCTTCTTGTTCCTACAAGGTAATAGTTAACAAATGCAGCTGAGAATCTTTGTTTATATTTAATTCCTGATCTGTTAAACACTGAAGTTTAAGTGAATTGCTGGCATTAATGACACACGAGCTGTTTACAGCATGTAAGGGTTTTAATCTAGGAAGTTTTTACCTTTTTTTTCTTGTCTAAATGAAACAAGAAAGCATTGTGTTTTTAAAGAGTCAATTAATTATACAAGCTACTAAGGGGTGGGTTCCGGCTGCTGCTACTGCCAGTTTGCTCAGAGATGCACCAGACTTTCCGCTTTTTATCACAAGTATAAACAACTTTAGCAACTTATAACTTTCTCTAAAAATACAACAAATGATCTCTTCTTCTCACAACCCATCTCTTATTTCTGACAAATACTTAAAACCTCATCCTGATTAGCAAAAATCCATTAAGGATAACTACAACTAGCAATATATCTATCTTATCTTTGATCAAATGAACCAACTTTATATCGCTTCCTTTTACTTTTAACAATTTTTATATTTAGTTCCTTCAAATAATGTCCCAGAACTTGATTTAGTTTTCATTTTTATTTCATCTCCTCATAATGTTCTTCAAAGCTTTAACAAGCCTCTTTTGTAAACCCAATATAGTAAAATTATCCAGGGCACGCTCTTGGATTTTTGTGTATCCTTTATGTAGACAAAAATCCTGCAGCAGGTGTCCCCTTGAACTTTGACTATTATAAATCCATGAAATTTAGCTTGGTTAGATGTATCCAAAGAATAGTTTATGAGCATAATGTGTTGTAGTGATATTAACTGGTTTTAAAGAAAATACCATGGGTCCTCTAAAAAAAATGTCTCTCTGGACTCTGAAGTGATTATTTTCAGATGATTTTGAGTATTATTATTCCATGGTTAAATGCAACATGTTGCTTCTCCACAAGTGACCTTTTCAAGTACTATGTTATTCCTAAGGGAGATGATCTGGCATGTAGTATCTGCTTGTCAGTGATTAAAGCTTTAACTGTTTTCCTGGGCATTTCACGAACTATTGTCAGCCTTTCCATAACTACTGTTGCATTATTTTAGGATTGAATTTATATAATATTTTACTGATTTGACCTATTTTTATTCTATATATTGTAATGAAAGTTTGTCATATAATTATGCTTACTTTAAAGAAGGAAAATATAAATTATAGGTGGTAAAGAATGTAGTTGACCACTATAACATAGTTGACCACCCATTCTGAAAACAGAATACATATTTAAACATACGTTAAATAGAATATACATCCTATTTATGTTCTCAAGATACCTTCGGATGGTGTTTTAACATTATAGTATCAGTCAGTTTCTATGTTGTGCTAGATTTCACATATGGTACTAATCTAGATCTTGCTCAGTTTATGTTAGTATACAATTCCTTTATAATCACCGCTATAAACTTTCCTTCTCTCTTCACTTGACAGAGTTCTTAGTTGCTATAGACAACCAAACAAATAGTTATTTACAAACCTTTTTTAGCATATGTACAGGAAAATTCCTACAAACCTAAAATTGTTTCTCTAAACAAGTAATGAAATGAAATTCCAGTTAATCTGTTGGCAGCAAACATTCTTCCTCCCCCTACCCACCTCCCAATAGTGGCTCCTGAATATAAAAGTTGATGGTTGTTAATATTTATTATGGATCTAACTTGTGTATTGAAATCAGAGATGCAGTGTTTCCTCAAGGACTTTCCAGAGGAAAATGATGTAATTAATATTATACATGTTCTTTTTTAACCTATGACTTAATCTGGAAATTTGAGAAAATTATGAATAATGATTTTCATGTGTACCAATATCACTCTGCTGCATACAACAACACACATGTATACATATGGCATCACTATCAGAAATGCTTTATTATATCCAAATGTGCTGGAAACAAACTACCTAAATAAAACATTGTGGTTTTAAACTACCATGAAATGGAATTGGCTCTTGACTTTCCCCTGTGCCTATATACAACACGCATTCCATATAATTCTCCAAATAACAAATCACAGCATTATGTTCCTCTATACATTATTAATCATTTAAGTAATCGCTTCTTTGGAGACCCACAGGCTATAAAAATCTGGAAACCTTTTTTTTTTTAAGAAATAGGTGTTTTTTTTCAAAATTTACCTAGGAAGCTCATGATTTTACATGTTTTATGTGAATTTTAGTATGCCATTTGTAGGTCCTCTAGAGCAGAAGTAGTCAGGCCTGAATTAAACCTTTTTCTAATAATATATCATGGAAAAGCTAACAAGGTATTGCACGCAGGACTGGCTTAAAATTTTTCTAATTAAGACCAAGTATAAAGAACCGCAGCTCCAGGATAGCTATGGTGGTTCCTGGTCCATTTTCAAGCACATGACCAAAAAAATCTAAGGAATTGCATCAAATGCCATTCTGCTCCAAATCCAATGTATAACACCATGGTTAGTAAAATAATAAAAGTCATTCATTTGAGAGAGATAATTGTAGGACTGGTTTTTAATAATCGGAAAGCTCTTTTTTTGGTTATCTAGCCTTTATAGTCTGATAGTGAGCAGAAATAAGGCTTTTCTGGTCTGGTGTCTCAATTGTCCAGTTGAATCTGGTGCTTCAGATTTTCCTCCAGAATATTCATTGTGGATCTCATCTATGTTTAAGTTAAAATCCACTCTGTTGTGCAGTCACTTCATCTAACTTTTCTAAAAAGTGTATCAGCATTGTCGTTTAAACTTTTAATTTTTTTTCTATGTGTCTTTGCAAACCCTTAGTTTGCAACCCTTAGTTAAACAAAGAACTAAGAAAACTTGATTGCAGAAAATACAACTTCAGCAACAGAGTGGTCAATGCCTGGAATGCG